ATTTCCTTCGTAATAAGCAGGATCAGAACCACCAAATATCAATTTACCACCCAAATCGGCTGAAGCGTTTCTGAAAATTATGTTCTTTATATTGCAATATGTATGAGTGTGATAATTAAAATTAAGTTTATTTAATGTGCAAATATAAATAATATTTTAATATTAAAAAATCTCGTTTAGATAGATATACGATGCTTATAGGTAGAAAAGATATGTACCTATTTAGATAAAGACTGAAAACGCCTGATGACACTAGTTCCTGTTGAATCATGTTGTAAAAGACAGGCTTTATTTCATTGAGAGTGAATATGTCGAAACAATTCAGGCCCAAAAGACCATCAAATTTTCTGTTAGATATATTTGAGTACAATTCAAGTATATGTTGGTCTGATATGTTTACCACTTCTAGAAATGTTTGCCATTTTATATTGAGGTTGGCAACCTACGGTAAAGTTTGTATTAAAATAATACATCGTACATTGCTACGCAAAAAAAAGAACTCGATTGCTTAAGTAATGTTTAAACTATCATTTTAGTTATAATTAAATTAGAATGTTTATTTAATAATGACTTACATTTACTGTACCGTTAGATAGGAATCCTGTTACATTGTAATCGAGGTATCGTACTTGAAGTAGTCCATTTTTATTTACTATATATGGGTTGAATTCCAAACGTATATACGTATTTTTAGTACGTACCACTAAAGCATATTCAGTAATATCGAAAATTAGATATATTAAAAAAAATTTAAAAATATGCATAGACATATTATCTTATTAATCTATAATAAATATGCAACATGCTTTTGTAAATAATTATTTATGTTGTACATGTACATGTTTTTATCGAATTAGTTTATAAATCATCTTTGTTTATCAATGTTTGTTTGTATCTTAAAAGAGTGAATGTGATAAATTATTTAAATTAATTTAAACATTTTCCAATTCCAAAGTTTGCCATTGTAATATTTACACTATAATATTAAATATTACTATAAAATTAAAATAAATATGTATCTGTATAATATTCAACTTTTTAAATCCCAAGATTATACTTGAAAAATATAATTGTAGATAATATATATATATATATATATATATATATATATATATATATATACAGGGTGAATCATAATGGATGTAACAACCTTTTACCATTAGAGATCAATTATCGACTGCAACTGTAATCAATTGAATGATTTATAGATGACAGCTGCTTGGATCGACCGTGTCTGCAGTAACGTACAAGCGAGTTAAATACTGTGAATTAAATAATATACATATTCCATGCATACTTTTCTAATATATTTAACTTTTTTATGTACATATTTTGCTTTCTACACGGTTTTTTTCTAATAACGTGATTTCTTATTATTGTGAAACGTATCTGCCACATAAAAAGAGATATCTTTTGCATTCGTGTATTTTTTAATACGATTTTTTTTTAAATAATGATTTTTTAATACATAGAATTTGACGATTTTTTTCATTCTTACACAAATCATTTTAACGCGTAAAAAGAGTTGGATTGGTAAAGATACAAAAGTATTCTTTTTTTATTTAAAAAAATGTGTAATTCTGCTTTCTACAAGAATTATTCTACTTATTATTAATTTTCTAAGTTATAACTTTTACATTCTTAATATCTACAGCAGAATATTTCTTGTAGAAAGTAGAATTACGCATTTTTTTTTATAAAAAGGAATACTTTTGTATCGTTTACCAATCCAACTCTTTTTACACGTTAAAATGATTTGTGTAAGAATGGAAAAAATCGCCGTCAAATTCTATGTATTAAAATACCATTATTTAAAAAAAATCGTATTAAAAAATACACGAATGCAAAAGATATCTCTTTTTATGTGGCAGATACGTTTCACAATAATAAGAAATCGCGTTATTAGAAAAAAACCGTGTAGAAAGAAAAATATGTACATAAAAGAGTTAAATATATTAGAAAAGTATGCATAGAATATGTATATTATTTGATTCACAGTATTTAACTCGCTTGTACGTTACTGCAGACACGGTCGATCCAAGCAGCTGTCATCTATGAATTATTCGATTGATTACAGTTGCAGTCGATAATTGATTTCTAATGGTAAAAGGTTGTTACAACCATTATGATTCACCCTGTGTATATATATATATATATATATATATATATATATATATATATTCGCTGATTTAAAAAATTGAAGTTTAAGCTTATCTACGATCGATATTCATGAAATGAAATTTATTTAATGAATTAAAAATAAAAGCATACACATGTACATGTATATATAAACGAAACTTACTAGCAACAGGATTTTTGAGCATTTTAGGAAATATCCGAAGATATGGGGAACCAGTATCAAATATAACTTTAAAGTTTTGCGGTGGAGTTCCAATGCTAATAGTGCCATAATAAATCACGTTGTCGATATTGGTTAAACGTACTGAAGAAAAATTATGAACTGAAGGAACTTTTGGCAAATTGTCAGTTGTTTGCCAAGGACAGTCATATTGCCTTGAAATAACATAAATAACTTTCTGTGAATGCAGATATATTTGATGACCTCTAAAGAAATTTATATTAACGGTTGTCGTTTAAATAGGAACAAAAGCGAACGTTACGAAAGTACAATGAGACATTTTTTCAAAAATATTCTTATTTGATTTACTCTTTAACTAATAAATAAAAACATATATTTTCACCAAAGAAATTTTATCCAATTTGTATTGAAGTATTAATTGCATTTGCTCAAGTTACGGGTTTAATTCAAGAGGTCGGACACGAGAAAGATTCGATCTTTATACTTTCGATATTTATTATGCCAATATAAAATAAAAAATATGTGGAAATATGTACTGCGCGTCAGTCGTCATAAAGAGCACCGTCACCACCACGAGAAGAAACATGTTTCAGAATTAATTTACTGCTAAAGTCTCGATTCCTAAAATTTTCAACAACGACTTTCGACACTTTATGATCACATACGCAGATAAATAAAGTGATGTCCTTTACTAACTCTCCCTTAGCACTGTATTGGTATTCGATAGCGTTATATATATATATATACAATCACACGTGTCCCTCTGTTGAATGCTTAAACAGGTAGAGATCGCGCGAAACATTCGAAAAATCCTGATGGATTCCCATCGATAAATTTAATTTAAATACATCATATTTTGCATGATCGCGTATTCTTAATTAACGTTTATTTATATAAATTTATGATTAATAATAGAAACAATTCTTTCGAAAAAATACATTTATAAACTGACAATCATGCAACATTGACTTTACAATAGGAAGTTTGGAAAAAGCAACATTTAATTAGCCGATACTTTATTGTAGAATTTCGTGCAGAAAAATCATATTTATGTAATTATAAATCACTTTTTATGATGAATTCTTGAAGTTTTTAAGAGGACAAGAAAATATCTTATATATGCTACATAATCTCGAAATATATATTTATTCACTAATTTCAGAAATTTTGCTATGAACAATTTGTTATGTTAAATTTGCGATAATTTTAATATGAATATTTTAACTTAAGATACTGCACAAAACTTAAAAACCTATACTATATATGTCTTACTTTTAGTATATATATTTCTACTATACAATTCTTTTAGCATATATTATGTAAATTTCATAAAATGTAACATTATGAAATTTTGTAAAACAAATAATAAATCTCTAATAAGGAAATATTTCTTTATTAAAAAATGTGTCATTAATTGATCAAAATAAGATAACTCTTAACAATAATGATCACTTTAATATCATTATAAAAATTAACGTATAAAAAGATAACATTAACGTACAATAAGATAAAATATAATAAGATAAACACATTATACAATAAAAAATGTGTTTTTTCATTGTAATTTTTTTCATTGTAATTTTATTATTAGTTCCTTGCACTAAATTCGTCCTGATTTAAAAAATTTGATAATATTGATATAATTCAAACATATATAGCATGCATATATAAACATATATTGTAATTAACATTCATAAATAATAATAACAAAGTAATATTTATAATCAATTTGTAATCAGATTATTTCATATTACTAAAACAGGCATCAGCGATAATCCGGAATAACCAGATATAGGTGGATAGTGGTCATTTATTACAATATATATACTCGTACAAAACTGTTCAGTTAAGAATCGTCTCTGTAGACTCCATAAATATCTTTAGAATCTAGAAATGTATTTAGAATTTAAAAATATATACCAGAGAAGTCATTAAATCCGTTAGAATTTAAAATTAGGTAAAATCTATTGCACTTCTTCGTACATAACGATATGCAAGAAACATAAATCTAGAACGTACGACGATGGTTAGTTATATTTTAAGGAATTGATCTACAATTCTGATCTTGTATAAATTTTCTCGAATCATTCATAACCAAATGCATAAGCAAATGAACAAAGCAAATATCGATTTTTCCAATCTCTAAACGCAACCAATTCCTGTATTCCTGATCAACGCAAGTATTTGAGAAAAAGTGACCGAGATATTTTCTTTTAATTGCATGAAAAAAATACATTACCGTTCATTTATCATCGCAATTTCTAACGATTAATATGATACAGTAAATCAGAAAAACGTGCTTGTTGTGTTCTACAGCATCAAAATCGCAATTATGCATTTCAGAACACATGATATATAATACAGATAAAATCCAGCCGACAAATCGATAATTTAATGCGGTTTGGAAATATTTCATATTAAAACAAGATTATTTTAAAGCGGTGACAACGCTGTTCTATCACTGAACGGAAGGATATTAATTCTTGTTCACATACGAAGATGTAGGAAGTTAAACGGGAAAACTTTTGAAATTTTCTATCCACAAAAATGTTATATTTACGAGAGCGCTTCAAGATTAATTTTACTAGATCCATAGTAACCATTTACCTCCAATTCTTATTAAATCTAGCGAAGAGAATATGATTTTTATAAGATTGAAAACTTTTATTGCATTGCACGACATAAGTTTTACATAAGTTTGGAACCTCAGAGGATCAAATGTGATCAAAACGAAAGAATAGGTCAATTCTAAAATTCAATATTTATTATACTGATATGTAACTTAAACTTACAATACAATGTATGAACTTAGTTTTGGATTTCCGCGTCGGTCAGCATCACAGTCATCACGAGAAAACGGAACATGTTTTCGAAATTTCCAGTAAATTTCTTTCCGTACGTTACGACATACAAAAAAGAAATTGTACTAGAGCTATCATTTACATCGACATTTGGCGGCCGTTATGTATACAATCGCTCGCATTCGAAACATAAACTTTTTTATTGATCATCCGTCCTACTGATCAATCAAATTTAAAAATATATTATTTAATATTTTGTGTTATAACAAATAAAAATAATTGTTTTGAAATAAATTATTAAGTGTGCGCTAAATTAAGATTGATAATGAAGGAGTAATCAGCTTTTCGAAAGAATAGATTGATTATATCGATTATTTGACAGCCATGCAACAATGACCTTAGCGAATGCAATTACTCGCAAAAATTCGCATTCCAAATAACTATAAGTCCATATCAGTTGCATTCACGATAAAGTATTGCTGTTGAAAATTAAGTCGCACTTATGTAGGCATTACGCAAAAATTCACATTGATAATCTGCGAACTTTGTCGGTTGGCGATTAAAAAATTAATTGTTTTCTTATCGAAAATTAAACAAATAATTTAAAAAATGATGATAAATACACAATAAAAGGTGACAATGTAAGATTTTCTAAACATTTTGATAAATTTTATACATTTTTCGCCAAAGCAAATCCCACGCGATGTCTACCAAACATTTTTCGCCAAAGCAAATCCCACGCGATGTCTACCAAACATTTTTCGCCAAAGCAAATCCCACGCGATGTCTACCAATATCAAACTCAGTGTAGTAACGGCCAATAAATGGCATCCCCAGAACCCATTCTACATAATGGTCAAAACCGTCAGTTGCTGTCTCGTGTTTCCAAAAGACGGTTACACATGTATTTTTATCATGTGGATCCTGAGTAGAATTAAATACACGATATAAACTTCTCTTATATATATTTAAATAATTTAAATAATTTTAACAAATTAATAAATAGAGATTAAATAATATTCTTATGGCTCACCCGAATGATATAATCCTTACCGGTAAGAACGAACGTCTTACTAAACCAATTAAAACCACTCAAATTAAACCCGATTATAGGCAATTGAGAAATTCTATTGCAGTCCACCTTTAAATAGAACATAATATCAGATTAGCAATTAATCATATTTAGTGAATATAAGTATTTCGGAAATAAGAATTAACGTTATTGTTCCATAGAAATTAATGTTTCATTTGAACATACCTATAATATATTTTTTTATCGCTATTATCAATTTTTTATAATTTACTTTTTTCTATCAAAGATTATGTGCTTTGTGAAAGATACAATTACTTGAAAGATATCGTTTACTTACACTTCCTTGTGAATTAGTTTCAATAAGTCGATTAATAAGTGAAACATCCTTTTTTGGTCCAATTATTTTCCAAGTACTTGTGTCAACAATACCTTGGCAGCTTTTCTTGCACCAAGTAAAATTATTTAGTTGGATACTGCAAAACGATGACGTTAACAATTTGTTGAAACATCATTAATGTAATTCAATAAATAACGCACTTATTAATGGTAAATTGCCAGTATTCTGTGCGAATAACAGGAACATATGTAAAACTTCCCTCGTAATAAGCAGGATCAGAACCACCGAATATCAATTTACCACCAAAATCGGCTGAAGCGTCTCTGCAAATTATGTTCTTTATATTGCACTATGTATGAGTGTGATAATTAAAATTAAGTTTATTTAATGTGCAAATATAAATAATATTTTAATATTAAAAAATCTCGTTTAAATAGGTATACGATGCTTATAGGTAGGAAAGATATGTACCTATTTAGATAAATACTGAAAATGCTTGATGACACTAAATTCTGTTGAACCATGTTGTAGAAGACAGGTTTTATTTCATCGACTGTGGCAGTGTGTAAGTTGTAACAACCCAGGCCCAAAAGACCATCAAATTTTCTGGTAGATTCATTTGAGTACAATTCAAGTATATGTTCGTCTGACATGTTTACCACTTCTAGAAATGTTTGCCTCTCTATATTGAGGTTGGCAACCTACGGTAAAGTTTGTATTAAAATAATACATCGTACATTGCTACGCAAAAAAAAGAACACGACTGCTTAAGTAATGTTTAAACTATCATTTTAGTTATAATTAAATTAGAATGTTTATTTAATAATGACTTACATTTACTTTACCGTTAGATAGGAATCCTGTTACATTGTAATCGAGGTATCGTACTTCAAATAGTCTATTTCTATATACTGTATATCGGTATACTAGTCTATTTCTATATACTGAAGCATATTCAATAATATCGGAAATTAGAAATATTAAAAAAAATTTTTAAACATGCATAGACATTTTATCTTATTAATCTATAATAAATATGCTACATACTTTTGCAAATAATTATTTATGTTGTACATGTACATGTTTTTATCGAATTAATTTATAAATCATCTTTGTTTATCAATGTTTGTTTGTATCTCCAAAGAGTGAATATGATAAATTATTTAAATTAATTTAAACATTTTCAAATTCCAAAGTTTGCCATTGTAACATTTATACTATAATATTAAGTATTACTATAAAATTAAAATAAATATGTATCTGTATAATATTCAACTTTTTAAATGCCAAGATTATACTTGAAAAATATAATTGTAGATAGAATATTTATATATATATATATATACAGGGTCTACCAAAAGTGTGGAAACCCCTAAATATCTCGGAAAATATACGTTTACAGAAAAGTGTTTCCAACAAAAGTTGTAGGGTTTAAGAAGATCTATATACTGATTCTATCAGTTTGACCTTGGATGGCGTCGTCAAGGTCAGGTCTAGGTCACATTGACTTTTTTAAATGACACCCCCTACATTTGATTGCATATTCTTATAGCTTAATTCAAGAGCTTTCCAAAACACTATAATAATGTTCATTTTTATTAAGTACTTTGCGAGTTATGAGGGTTGAAATAATTTCTTAATTTTACATAAACCATAAAATATCTAGTAAACCATTCATTTTTCGATTATCTTACCTTCATACTTTTATGTACAAAATAATGAAAGGAATCAATTGGTGTAAAGAAAACATACAGTTGTTTTTAAGAAAAAATATGGAATTGTTAATTGCAAATTACATATTTTTTCTTAGAAACAACTATGTGTTTTCTTTACACCAATTGATTCCTCTCATTAATTTGTACATAAAAGTATGAAGGTAAGATAATCGAAAAATGAATGGTTTACTAGATATTTTATGGTTTATGTAAAATTAAGAAATTATTTCAACCCTCATAACTCGCAAAGTACTTAATAAAAATGAACATTATTATAGTGTTTTGGAAAGCTCTTGAATTAAGCTATAAGAATATGCAATCAAATGTAGGGGGTGTCATTTAAAAAAGTCAATGTGACCTTGACCTGACCTTGACGACGCCATCCAAGGTCAAACTGATAGAATCAGTATATAGATCTTCTTAAACCCTACAACTTTTGTTGGAAACACTTTTCTGTAAAACGTATATTTTCCGAGATATTTAGGGGTTTCCACACTTTTGGTAGACCCTGTATATATATATATATATATACATATTTGCGGATTTAAAAAATTGAAGTTTAAGCTTATCTAAGATCGATATTGATGAAATGAAATTTATTTAATGAATTAAAAGTAAAAGCATACACATGTACATTTATATATAAACGATACTTACAGGAGGAAACAGGAACAGGATTTGTGTACATTTTAGGAAATATCCGAAGATATGGGGAACTAGTATCAAATACAACTTCATAGTTTTGCGGTGGATTTCCAATGCTAATAGTGCCATAATAAAGCACGTTGTCGATATTGGTCAAACTTACTGAAGGAAAATTATAAACTGAAGGAACTTTTGGCAAATTGTCAGTTATTTGCCAAGTCCAGTGATATTGCCTTGAAATAACATAAATAACATTGTGTGAATGTAGATATATTTGATGATCTCTAAAGAAATTTAACGGTTGTCGTTTAAATAGGGATAAAAGCAAGATGAACAAAAGCGAACGTTACGAACGTACAATGAGACATTTTTTAAAAAATATTCTTATTTGATTTACTTTTTGACTAATAAATAAAAACATATATTTTGACCAAAGAAATTTTATCCAATTTGTATTGAAGTATTAATTGCATTTGCTCAAGTTACGCGTTTAATCCAAGAGGTCGGACACGAGAAAAATTCGATCTTTATACTTTCGATATTTATTATGCCAATATAAAATAAAAAATATATGGAAATAAGTACTGCGCGTCAGTCGTCATAAAGAGCACCGTCACCACCACGAGAAGACGAAACATGTTTCAGAATTAATTTATTGCTGAAGTCCCGATTCCTAAAATTTTCAACAACGACTTTCTTTCGGCACATTATGATCACATACGCAGATAAATAAAGTGTTGTCCTATACTAACTCCCTTAGCACTGCGTTGGTATTCGATAGCGTTATATATATATATATATATACGATCACGCGTGTCCCTCTGATGAATGCTTAAACAGGTAGAGAACGCGCGAAACATTCGAAAAATCCTGATGGATTTCCATCGATAAATTTAATTTAAATACATCATATTTTGCATGATCGCGTATTCTTAATTAACTTTATTTATATAAATTTATGATTAATCATAGAAACAATTCTTTCGAAAGAATACATTTATAACGACTAAACTGACAATCATGCAACATTGACTTTACAATAGGAAGTTTGGAAAAAGCAGCATTTAATTAGCCGACACTTTTTTGTATAATTTTGTGCGGAAAAACTATATTTATGTAATTATAAATCACCTTTTTTGATGAATTTTTGAGGTTTTTAAAAGGACAAGAAAATATACGTAATCTTGAAATATAATATATATTTAAATATTTATTAATTTCAGATTTTTTGCTATAAACAATTTGTTATGTTACAATTTGGAATAATATGAATATTTTAACTTAAGATACTGTACAAAACTTAAAAATCTATACTATATAGGTCTTAATTCTAATATATATATTTTTACTATACATTTCTTTTAGCATATATTATGCAAATTTGAAAAAATGTAACAATATGAAATTTTGTGAAACAAATAATAAATCTTTAATAAAGGAAATATTTATTTATTAAAAATGTGTCATTAATTTATCGAAATAAGATAACTTTCAATACAAGAAATTATTATATTATGATGATAACTTCAATTACATTATAAAAATTAACGTATAATAAGATAACATATATAATAAGATATATATATAATAAGATAAACACATTATAAAATAAAAAATTTGTAATTTTTTCAATGTAATTTTATTATTAGTTCCTTCTATCAAATTCGTCCTGATTCATAAAGTTTGATACCGAATATTGATATAATTCAAACATATATAGCATGCATATATAAACATATATTGTAATTAGCATTCATAAATAATAATAACGATGTAATGTTTATAATCAATTTGCAATCAGATTATTTCATGTTTGGCTGAAACAGCCATCAGCGATAATCCGGAATAATCTGGTAGATAGTAGTTATTTGTTACATAATATATACAAAACTGTTCAGTTAAAAATCATCTCTTTAGACTCCAGGAATATCTTTAGAATCCAGAAATATATTTAGAATCCAAAAATATCAAAGAAGTTATTAAATCCGTTAGGACCATTAAGTAAGATCTATTGCACTTCTTCGTACATAACGATACGCAAGAAACATAAATCCGGAACGTACGACGATGGTTAGTTATGTTTTAAGTAATTGGCCTACAATTCTGATCTCGTATAAATTTTCTCGAATCATTCATAAGCATATGCATAAGCAAATGAACAAAGCAAATATCGATTTTTCCAATCTCTAAATGCAATCAATTCCTGTATTCCTGATCTACGCAAGTATATAAGAAAAAGTGACCGAGATGTTTTCTTTTAATTGCATGAAAAAAATACATTAACGTTCATTTATCATCGCAATTTCTAACGACTAATATGATACAGTAAATCAGAAAAACGCGTTGTGTTCTACAGCATCAAAATCGCAATTATGCATTTAAGAACACATGATGCATAATGCAGATAAAATCCAGCCGACAAATCGATAATCTAATGCGGTTTGGAAATATTTTATATTAAAACAAGATTATTTTAAAGCGGTGACAACGAGCTGTTCTATCACTGAACGAAAGCATATTAATTCTTGTTCATACGAAGATGTAGGAAGTTAAACGGGAAAACTTTTGAAAATTTCTATCCACAAAAATGTAATATTTACGTAAGCGTTTCAAGATTAATTTTACTAAATCCATTGTAACCATTTACCTCCAACTCTTATTAAATCTAGCGAAGAGAATATGATTTTAATAACATTATTATAAGATTGAAAACTTTTATTGCATGTTTATTACATTGCACGACATAAGTTTTACATAAGTTTGGAATCTCAGAGAATCGAATGTGGTCAAAACGAAGGAATAGATCAATTCTTAAATTCAATATTTATTATACTGATATGTAACTTAAACTTACAATACAATGTATAAACTTAGTTTTGGATTTCGGTCAGCATCACGAGAAAGAGGAACATGTTTTCGAAATTTCCAGTAAATTTCTTTCTGTACGTTACGACATACAAAAAGAAATTGTACTCGTCTACTAGAGCTATCATTTACATCGACATTTAGCGGCCGTTATATATACAATCGCTCGCATTCGAAACATAACTTTTCTTATTGATCATCCGTCCTATTGATCAATCAAATTTAAAAATATTTTATTTAATATTTTGTGTTATAATTAAAACAAATTGTTTTAAAATAAATTATTAAGTGTGCGCTAAATTAAGATTGATAATGAAGGAGTAATCAGCTTTCCGGAAGTATAGATTCATTATATCGATTATTAGATGGCCATACAACAATGACCTTAGCGAATGCAATTACTCGCAAAAATTCCAAATAACCATAAGCACATATCAGTTGCATTCACGATAAAGTATTGCTGTAGAAAATTAAGTCGCAGTTATGTAGGCATTACGCAAAAATTCACATTGATAATCTGCGAACTTTGTCGGTTGGCGATTAAAAATTAAATGTTTTCTTATCGAAAATTAAACAAATAATTTAAAAAAATGATGATAAGTACACAATAAAAGGTGACAATGAAAGATTTTCTATACATTTTGATAAATTTTATACATTTTTCGCCAAAGCAAATCCCACTCGGCCTCTATCCACATCAAACTCAGTGTAGTAACGGCCAATAAATGGCATCCCCAGAACCCATTTTACATAATCGTCATATGCTGACTCGTGTTTCCAGAAGACGGTTACACATGTACTTTTATCATCTGGATGCTGAGCAGAATTATATACACGATATAAACTTCTCTTATACATATTTAAATAATTTAAATAATTTTAACAAATTAATAAATAGAGATTAAATAATTTTCTTATGGCACTCACCCGAATGATATAATCCTTACCGGTAAGAACGAACGTTTTATCACCCAATTAAAACCACGCAAATTAAACCTGATTATAGGCAGTTGAGAAATTCTATTGCAGTCCACCTTTAAATAGAACATAATATCAGGTTAGCAATTAATCATATTTAGTGAATATAAGTATTTCGGAAATAAAAAATTAACGTTATTGTTCCATAGAAATTAATGTTTCATTTAAACATACCTATAATATATTTTTTTATCGCTATTATCAATTTTTTATAATTTACTTTTTTCTATCAAATATTATGTGCTTTGTGAAAGATACAATTAATTGAAAGATATCGTTTACTTACACTTCCCTGTGAATCAGTTTCAATAAGTCGATTAATATGTGATACATCCTTTTCTGGTCCAATTATTTTCCAAGTAGTTGTGTCAACAATAGCTTGACAGCTTTTCTCGCACGAAGTAAAATTATTTAGTTGGATACTACAAAACGATGACGTTAACAATTTGTTGAAACATCATTAATGTAATTTTAATAATTAACGCACTTAATAATTTCAATTTGCCAGTATCCTCTGCGAGTAACAGGAACATATGTAAAATTTCCTTCGTAATAAGCAGGATCCGAACCACCGAATATCAGTTTACCACCCAAATCGGCTGAAGCGTTTCTGAAAATTATGTTCTTTATATTGCAATATGTATGAGTGTCATAATTAAAATTAAGTTTATTTAATGTGCAAATATAAATAATATTTTAATATTAAAAAATCTCGTTTAGATAGATATACGATGCTTATAGGTAGGAAAGATATGTACCTATTTAGATAAAGACTGAAAATGCCTGATGACACTAGTTCCTGTTGAATCATGTTGTAAAAGACAGGCTTTATTTCACCGACAGTGAATCTGTCGAAACAACTCAGGCCCAAAAGACCATCAAATTTTCTGTTAGATATCTTTGAGTACAATTGAAGTATATGTTCGTCTGATATGTTTACCACTTCTAGAAATGTTTGCCATTCTATATTGAGGTTGGCAACCTACGGTAAAGTTTGTATTAAAATAATACATCGTTCATTGCTACGCAAAAAAAAAGAACACGATTGCTTAAGTAATGTTTAAACTATCATTTTAGTTATAATTAAATTAGAATGTTTATTTAATAATGACTTACATTTACTGTACCCGTAGATAGGAATCCTGTTACATTGTAATCGAGGTATCGTACTTTAAGTAGTCTATTTTTTATTTACTATATATGGGTTTACCACTGCAGCATCTTCAGTAATATCGAAAATTAGAAATATTAAAAAAAATTTTAAAATATGCATAGACATATTATCTTATTAATCTATAATAAATATGCAACATGCTTTTGTAAATAAATATTTATGTTGTACATGTACATGTTTTTATCGAATTAATTTATTAATCATCTTTGTTTATCAATGTTTGTTTGTATCTCCAAAGAGTGAATGTGATAAATTATTTAAATTAATTTTAAACATTTTTCCAATTCCAAAGTTTGCCATTGTAATATTTACACTATAATATTAAATATTACTATAAAATTAAAATAAATATGTATCTGTATAATATTCAACTTTTTAAATCCCAAGATTATACTTGAAAAATATAATTGTAGATAATATAATATATATATATATATATATATATAATATATTCGCGGATTTAAAAAATTGAAGTTTTAAGCTTATCTAAGATCGATATTTGATGAAATGAAATTTATTTAATGAATTAAAAGTAAAAGCATACACATGTACATGTATATATAAACGATACTTACAAGGAACATGACCTTTTTTCGTGGACTTTTTAGGAAATATCCGAAGATATGAGGAACTAGTATCAAATACAACTTTAAAGTTTTGCGGTGGAGTTCCAATGCTAATAGTGCCATAATAAATCACGTTTGTCGATATTGGTCAAACGTACTGAAGAAAAACTATGAACTGAAGGAACTTTTGGCAAATTGTCAGTTATTTGCCAAGTCCAGTCATATTGCCTTGAAATAACATAAATAACTTTTTGTGAATGCAGATATATTTGATGACCTCTAAAGAATTTTATATTAACGGTTGTCGTTTAAATAGGGATAAAAGCAAGATGAACAAAAAGCGAACGTTACGAAAGTACAATAAGACATTTTTTTCAAAAATATTCTTATTTGATTTACTCTTTGACTAATAAATAAAAACATATATTTTGACCAAAGAAATTTGTATTGAAGTATTAATTGTATTTGCACAAGTTACGCGTTTAATCCAAGAGGTCGGACATGAGAAAGATTCGATCTTTATAATTTCGATATTTATTCCAATACAAAATAAAATATATACGGATATATATATTGCGCGTCAGTCGTCATAAAGAGCACCGTCACCACCACGAGAAGAAACATGTTTCAGAATTAATTTACTGCTGAAGTCTCGATTCCTAAAATTTTCAACAACGACTTTCTTTCGACACTTTATGATCACATACGCAGAATAAAAAAGTGATGTCCTTTACTAACTCTCCCTTAGCACTGTATCGGTATGTCATAGCGTATATATATATATATATATATATATATATATATATATATAGATCACGCGTGTCCCTCTATTGTAATGCTTAAACAGGTAGAGAACGCGCGAAACATTCGAAAATTCTTCATGGATTTCCATCGATAAATTTAATTTAAATATATCATATTTTGCATGATCGTGTATTGTTAATTAAGAACGTTTATTTACATAAATTTATGATTAATAATAAAAACAATTCTTTCGAAAGAATACATTTATAATGACTAAACAGGCATCATGCAACATTATTTTTACAATAGAAGTTTGAAAAAAAAACACAGTTTTTAATTAACCGACATTTTTTTATATAATTTCGTACGGAAAAATCATATTTATGTGATTATAAATCACTTTTTTTGATGAATTCTTGAAGTTTTTAAAGAACAAGAAAATATCTTATATATGCTACATAATCTCGAAATATATATTATATTCACTAATTTCAGAAATTTTGCTATGAACAATTTGTATGTTAAATTTGCGATAATATTAATATGAATTTTTAACTTAAGATACTGCACAAAACTTAAAAACCTATACATATAAGTCTTACTTTTNTTTGGAACCTCAGAGGATCAAATGTGATCAAAACGAAAGAATAGGTCAATTCTAAAATTCAATATTTATTATACTGATATGTAACTTAAACTTACAATACAATGTATGAACTTAGTTTTGGATTTCCGCGTCGGTCAGCATCACAGTCATCACGAGAAAACGGAACATGTTTTCGAAATTTCCAGTAAATTTCTTTCCGTACGTTACGACATACAAAAAAGAAATTGTACTAGAGCTATCATTTACATCGACATTTGGCGGCCGTTATGTATACAATCGCTCGCATTCGAAACATAAACTTTTTTATTGATCATCCGTCCTACTGATCAATCAAATTTAAAAATATATTATTTAATATTTTGTGTTATAACAAATAAAAATAATTGTTTTGAAATAAATTATTAAGTGTGCGCTAAATTAAGATTGATAATGAAGGAGTAATCAGCTTTTCGAAAGAATAGATTGATTATATCGATTATTTGACAGCCATGCAACAATGACCTTAGCGAATGCAATTACTCGCAAAAATTCGCATTCCAAATAACTATAAGTCCATATCAGTTGCATTCACGATAAAGTATTGCTGTTGAAAATTAAGTCGCACTTATGTAGGCATTACGCAAAAATTCCACATTGATAATCTGCGAACTTTGTCGGTTGGCGATTAAAAAATTAATTGTTTTCTTTATCGAAAATTAAACAAATAATTTAAAAAATGATGATAAATACACAATAAAAGGTGACAATGTAAGATTTTCTAAACATTTTGATAAATTTTTATACATTTTTCGCCAAAGCAAAATCCCACGCGATGTCTACCAAACATTTTTCGCCAAAGCAAATCCACGCGATGTCTACCAAACATTTTTCGCCAAAGCAAATCCCACGCGATGTCTACCAATATCAAACTCAGTGTAGTAACGGCCAATAAATGGCATCCCCAGAACCCATTCTACATAATGGTCAAAACCGTCAGTTGCTGTCTCGTGTTTCCAAAAGACGGTTACACATGTATTTTTATCATGTGGATCCTGAGTAGAATTAAATACACGATATAAACTTCTCTTATATATATTTAAATAATTTAAATAATTTTAACAAATTAATAAATACAGATTAAATAATATTCTTATGGCTCACCCGAATGATATAATCCTTACCGGTAAGAACGAACGTCTTACTAAACCAATTAAAACCACTCAAATTAAACCCGATTATAGGCAATTGAGAAATTCTATTGCAGTCCACCTTTAAATAGAACATAATATCAGATTAGCAATTAATCATATTTAGTGAATATAAGTATTTCGGAAATAAGAATTAACGTTATTGTTCCATAGAAATTAATGTTTCATTTGAACATACCTATAATATATTTTTTTATCGCTATTATCAATTTTTTATAATTTACTTTTTTTCTATCAAAGATTATGTGCTTTGTGAAAGATACAATTACTTGAAAGATATCGTTTACTTACACTTCCTTGTGAATTAGTTTTCAATAAGTCGATTAATAAGTGAAACATCCTTTTTTGGTCCAATTATTTTCCAAGTACTTGTGTCAACAATACCTTGGCAGCTTTTCTTGCACCAAGTAAAATTATTTAGTTGGATACTGCAAAACGATGACGTTAACAATTTGTTGAAACATCATTAATGTAATTCAATAAATAACGCACTTATTAATGGTAAATTGCCAGTATTCTGTGCGAATAACAGGAACATATGTAAAACTTCCCTCGTAATAAGCAGGATCAGAACCACCGAATATCAATTTACCACCAAAATCGGCTGAAGCGTCTCTGCAAATTATGTTCTTTATATTGCACTATGTATGAGTGTGATAATTAAAATTAAGTTTATTTAATGTGCAAATATAAATAATATTTTAATATTAAAAAATCTCGTTTAAATAGGTATACGATGCTTATAGGTAGGAAAGATATGTACCTATTTAGATAAATACTGAAAATGCTTGATGACACTAAATTCTGTTGAACCATGTTGTAGAAGACAGGTTTTATTTCATCGACTGTGGCAGTGTGTAAGTTGTAACAACCCAGGCCCAAAAGACCATCAAATTTTCTGGTAGATTCATTTGAGTACAATTCAAGTATATGTTCGTCTGACATGTTTACCACTTCTAGAAATGTTTGCCTCTCTATATTGAGGTTGGCAACCTACGGTAAAGTTTGTATTAAAATAATACATCGTACATTGCTACGCAAAAAAAAGAACACGACTGCTTAAGTAATGTTTAAACTATCATTTTAGTTATAATTAAATTAGAATGTTTATTTAATAATGACTTACATTTACTTTACCGTTAGATAGGAATCCTGTTACATTGTAATCGAGGTATCGTACTTCAAATAGTCTATTTCTATATACTGTATATCGGTATACTAGTCTATTTCTATATACTGAAGCATATTCAATAATATCGGAAATTAGAAATATTAAAAAAAATTTTTAAACATGCATAGACATTTTATCTTATTAATCTATAATAAATATGCTACATACTTTTGCAAATAATTATTTATGTTGTACATGTACATGTTTTTATCGAATTAATTTATAAATCATCTTTGTTTATCAATGTTTGTTTTGTATCTCCAAAGAGTGAATATGATAAATTATTTAAATTAATTTAAACATTTTCAAATTCCAAAGTTTGCCATTGTAACATTTATACTATAATATTAAGTATTACTATAAAATTAAAATAAATATGTATCTGTATAATATTCAACTTTTAAATGCCAAGATTATACTTGAAAAATATAATTGTAGATAGAATATTATATATATAATATACAGGGTAAAAAAAACCTAAATATTGAAAAAAGTTAAAAAAGCAAAAAATTTATAAAAATATATACTATTATCAGGACGGATCAGGTCAGGTTGGTAATTTTAAATATACTGCATATTCTTATAGCTTAATTCAAGAGCTTTCCAAAACACTTAATAATGTTCATTTTTATTAATACTTTGCGAGTTATGAGGGTTGAAATAATTTCTTAATTTTACATAAACCATAAAATATCTAGTAAACCATTCATTTTCGATTATCTTACCTTCATATTTTATGTACAAAATAATGAAAGGAATCAATTGGTGTAAAGAAAACATACAGTTGTTTTTAAGAAAAAATATGGAATTGTTTAATTGCAAATTACATATTTTTTCTTAGAAACAACTATGTGTTTTCTTTAACCAATTGATTCCTCTCATTAATTTGTACATAAAAGTATGAAGGTAAGATAATCGAAAAATGAATGGTTTACTAGATATTTTATGGTTTATGTAAAATTAAGAATTATTTCAACCCTCATAACTCGCAAAGTACTTAATAAAAATGAACATTATTATAGTGTTTTGGAAAGCTCTTGAATTAAGCTATAAGAATATGCAATCAAATGTATTCATTTAAAAATCAATGTACTTGACTGACTTGACGACGCCATCAAGGTCAACTGATGAATCAGTTATAATCTTCTTAAACCCTACAACTTTTGTTGGACACTTTTCTGTAAACGTATATTTTCGATATTTAGGGGTTAACTTTTGTAGATGTATATTATATATATATACATATTTGCGGATTTAAAAAATTGAAGTTTAAGCTTATCTAAGATCGATATTGATGAAATGAAATTTATTTAATGAATTAAAAGTAAAAGCATACACATGTACATTTATATATAAACGATACTTACAGGAGGAAACAGGAACAGGATTTGTGTACATTTTAGGAAATATCCGAAGATATGGGGAACTAGTATCAAATACAACTTCATAGTTTTGCGGTGGATTTCCAATGCTAATAGTGCCATAATAAAGCACGTTGTCGATATTGGTCAAACTTACTGAAGGAAAATTATAAACTGAAGGAACTTTTGGCAAATTGTCAGTTATTTGCCAAGTCCAGTGATATTGCCTTGAAATAACATAAATAACATTGTGTGAATGTAGATATATTTGATGATCTCTAAAGAAATTTAACGGTTGTCGTTTAAATAGGGATAAAAGCAAGATGAACAAAAGCGAACGTTACGAACGTACAATGAGACATTTTTTAAAAAATATTCTTATTTGATTTACTTTTTGACTAATAAATAAAAACATATATTTTGACCAAAGAAATTTTATCCAATTTGTATTGAAGTATTAATTGCATTTGCTCAAGTTACGCGTTTAATCCAAGAGGTCGGACACGAGAAAAATTCGATCTTTATACTTTCGATATTTATTATGCCAATATAAAATAAAAAATATATGGAAATAAGTACTGCGCGTCAGTCGTCATAAAGAGCACCGTCACCACCACGAGAAGACGAAACATGTTTCAGAATTAATTTATTGCTGAAGTCCCGATTCCTAAAATTTTCAACAACGACTTTCTTTCGGCACTTTATGATCACATACGCCGATAAATAAAGTGTTGTCCTATACTAACTCCCTTAGCACTGCGTTGGTATTCGATAGCGTTATATATATATATATATATATATACGATCACGCGTGTCCCTCTGATGAATGCTTAAACAGGTAGAGAACGCGCGAAACATTCGAAAAATCCTGATGGATTTCCATCGATAAATTTAATTTAAATACATCATATTTTGCATGATCGCGTATTCTTAATTAACTTTATTTATATAAATTTATGATTAATCATAGAAACAATTCTTTCGAAAGAATACATTTATAACGACTAAACTGACAATCATGCAACATTGACTTTACAATAGGAAGTTTGGAAAAAGCAGCATTTAATTAGCCGACACTTTTTTGTATAATTTTGTGCGGAAAAACTATATTTATGTAATTATAAATCACCTTTTTTGATGAATTTTTGAGGTTTTTAAAAGGACAAGAAAATATACGTAATCTTGAAATATAATATATATTTAAATATTTATTAATTTCAGATTTTTTGCTATAAACAATTTGTTATGTTACAATTTGGAATAATATGAATATTTTAACTTAAGATACTGTACAAAACTTAAAAATCTATACTATATAGGTCTTAATTCTAATATATATATTTTTACTATACATTTCTTTTAGCATATATTATGCAAATTTGAAAAAATGTAACAATATGAAATTTTGTGAAACAAATAATAAATCTTTAATAAAGGAAATATTTATTTATTAAAAATGTGTCATTAATTTATCGAAATAAGATAACTTTCAATACAAGAAATTATTATATTATGATGATAACTTCAATTACATTATAAAAATTAACGTATAATAAGATAACATATATAATAAGATATATATATAATAAGATAAACACATTATAAAATAAAAAATTTGTAATTTTTTCAATGTAATTTTATTATTAGTTCCTTCTATCAAATTCGTCCTGATTCATAAAGTTTGATACCGAATATTGATATAATTCAAACATATATAGCATGCATATATAAACATATATTGTAATTAGCATTCATAAATAATAATAACGATGTAATGTTTATAATCAATTTGCAATCAGATTATTTCATGTTTGGCTGAAACAGCCATCAGCGATAATCCGGAATAATCTGGTAGATAGTAGTTATTTGTTACATAATATATACAAAACTGTTCAGTTAAAAATCATCTCTTTAGACTCCAGGAATATCTTTAGAATCCAGAAATATATTTAGAATCCAAAAATATCAAAGAAGTTATTAAATCCGTTAGGACCATTAAGTAAGATCTATTGCACTTCTTCGTACATAACGATACGCAAGAAACATAAATCCGGAACGTACGACGATGGTTAGTTATGTTTTAAGTAATTGGCCTACAATTCTGATCTCGTATAAATTTTCTCGAATCATTCATAAGCATATGCATAAGCAAATGAACAAAGCAAATATCGATTTTTCCAATCTCTAAATGCAATCAATTCCTGTATTCCTGATCTACGCAAGTATATAAGAAAAAGTGACCGAGATGTTTTCTTTTAATTGCATGAAAAAAATACATTAACGTTCATTTATCATCGCAATTTCTAACGACTAATATGATACAGTAAATCAGAAAAACGCGTTGTGTTCTACAGCATCAAAATCGCAATTATGCATTTAAGAACACATGATGCATAATGCAGATAAAATCCAGCCGACAAATCGATAATCTAATGCGGTTTGGAAATATTTTATATTAAAACAAGATTATTTTAAAGCGGTGACAACGAGCTGTTCTATCACTGAACGAAAGCATATTAATTCTTGTTC